AAACTTGAGTCCCTGGGAGGCAGGCTGCCCCAGGCCAGGGGGTGAGCAATGGAGCTCACAAAGATGCCCCCTCCCCCATCCTATTTATTAACTTTGATCAGCTCTAGGGCTTCTTGGATGGTTTCTGCTGCTAAGATCACTGGGAGAAAGGGAACACCCCAAAGCCTCCTGGGGCTGTGCCACTCTGTTCTGGCTATACATGCTACAAGAAAGGGGCGGTCTGCTTTCCAGGCAAAGAAAACTCAATCTAACAAGGTTGTGTAGGGGAGGGGTTGGGAGTCTTTTGGGGCCTTAACTCTTTCTAACAGGCTGGAACTCTTGGAACAACTCTTACCCGTTGGGAGCTGCCTAACCTCAGGAAGGGGTAGGCATAACTACTAACTTGCTTTCAGCCTAATACACACATAAAACCATTAGGTCCCTTTCTCCTTCAGCTGTGTCAGGCTTTTTAACAAGGTCTGGACTTCTGACCTGGTCAGCGGACAAGTCTCTTCAAGGGCCTTAGATTCCTTGGTAGCTTCTTCTTCAGCCTGGGAGGCTAACTGGAAGTAGGGGGTATGAGACTGGGCAGCCTCTTCTGCTAATTGTCCCAACTGACCATGCCCAGATCAGAGTTACTCATGGGGAGGCTGAAGCTGCTGCCTTGGCCAGGGCCAAGAGGCACTTAGAGGTCACTGGGGCATTTTGCTATGGAGCCTTAAAGTCTTGCCAAGTGGCACATTTCAGGAAGAGCCCACAGGCTTTGCTAGGATGGCTGCATTTGGCATCTTGGGTGGACCAGGGGCAGGACTTTCCTTGGCCTGTCTAGGAGTCATGGTACCAGTGAGGTTGACCAAGTGTCTCTGCTCCAGCAACAGAAATGCTACAGCCGGGCGATGAGGTCTTGGACATCTGGACTGAGACTCGATGCAAAAACAACTCGGGATCGAGCTTCGAACCCCATGGGCTCTCTCACCCCAAGGGTAACCCCTCCCCCACCTTTTACACCGCTTTTCTCCTAGGCTCCCCGGGGCTGGTGGAGGGGATTGTGAGGGAGGCACCCGGGTTTTGCCGCAGCAACAATTCTTCCAAGGAACTTCACGAATCCACACGAGGAGACACAGGTGAGGGGGGCCCGAGGGAGGCGCCCAGAAGATGGAGGGTCCTGCCCGCACGTGCCTCCATCCCTGACGTCACACCTACTTCTGGTAGCCATTGGCGGGAACGGCCTCGGCCGGGGATGTTACTCATGGGAGCATGACCTGGTCCCTGGAGAAGCTTGATTGCTGGGAGAGAGCCGGAGGGGTAAGTGAGGTCGGGGGCAGGGTTTGGTGACCAGTGGATGGTCAGCACCGCCAACCCCTCCCTCAATTGTCGACCAACTGCTGATGCTGTTGGTATAGCTCGTGGCAGGCCCCTCAGTAGTGCTCAGGTCTCAGGTAGTGAACTGGGTCCCTCCGAATGATGGTGGAATTCTCACGGTAGGTGCCCAGCTGAGTGTCCCAAGGCCTTGTGGGCTCTTGGGGTTTTTATGGAGAGTGGAGTGGCAAGACAGGCTGGGGATTGCATCAACTTCCGCTCCTTTGGTGGGGATGGCCTTTGTGGGGTCATCTGCCCAGGCATTGGCAGGATTGAGGGCACGTGGCTTTCCAACTGAAGCAATGGCGGGGGTGAGGTTCCGTTAGCCAGTGACGTGGGCTTCTGGTGTACTGACGGCTTTTCGGAGTCATCTGCGCAGGCGTCAATGGGATTGGGACCGTTGGGGACACGTGGTCTTCTGGCTGAAGCAAGGGGAGGGTGGGGGAGCTTCCTTAGTCAGTGACGTGAGTCTCCTGTGCATTGTCAGGTTTGCGAAGTCAGCAGCGCAGTCGTCCAGCGGCCTGGGGACCCGTGGTCTTCCCCCTGAAGCAGTGGGGTGGGAGGCGGGGGAGATTGCGTCGCAGGGCCTCATTTTCCGTATCTGTGGTAATCATAGCACCTACCTCCGAGGTTTGTTGTGAGGATCAGGTAAGATCGCAAACCTGAAAGGCTATATAAGGGTTAGCCATTAGCTATTTAAACCAACAAGGCACCAACATCTTCTCCACCCCACGAGTCTCCAAAATTCCCAATCGCACGCATCATAGGATTCAAAATCCTCTCCCATTATGAAAGGTTGCCCCTCTTCTTACATCTAGTGATCCCAGGTGCAATGATTCCTATTCCTAAGTTATCTCCAAAGGCATCTAGGTAACTTTTCACTGGGAATAGAGGAGAACCATGGAAACCCTTCCGTACTCTTACTCCAGGAGGGGACAGCATTCTGGATGTCTGCTCCTCATGGTGAGTGGAAATTTACTTAGTTTCTCTTTTCAACAGGTTACATGTAATTCTGGAACTTCTCTCTGAATTTGGGTTGATTTCCAAATAGTCCAATGAAACTTTGACTTCAGAGGGTCAAAATAATCTCTTGAAGTTGTTCCTCTTTTCTTTCTAAGGAAAAAGAAACCTTAAAGGCAGAAAGGAATTGAAGACTGGGGAAGAACAAGTGCATCATACTTCTGACATATCCATGTCATTGAGAGGCAGTACCACTGGGAATTTTAAAGAAAATAACCCCTAACTTAAAGATGAACATTTCCCCTAGGTTGTGGTTTTATAACCGAAGAGAAAATGAGTTGGTGGAACAAGATTCAGGTTTCAGCCAGTGAGAAATGTTGGGAAAAAGTGTTCCAGATGTGCATCCTGCTGAGAACTAGAGGTGGAAGGTATCTACTTATGTCTTGTAAGAGTATCTGCCTGGGGAAACTCACTTGGCAAACCTTTTCAATTTTCCCTAAAGGATTTTAACTAATGATCACAGAACTAAGCCCAGGTGGGTGAAGCAAATTAAAAAGTGAGTGCAAATCAATTTACCACATACCGTGCAAGACAATGCCAATGAAATTCCGGTTTTTTTGTTGTTTTTTTTTTTTTTGGTTGGTTTTTTTTTTTAAGTTGAGCTCTCTCTGTCTCCCTTAGACGAAGTACACATGGGTTTGGAGTAGAGTAGGGAAGACTTTCTGGGAGAATGCTTTATATGGTTCCCTCTCAGGATGACAGATTAGACTTTTAAGGCAAAAATGTTTTGCTCTTAAATTACCTCCTCCAATCACATAGTCCTTTCATAGACAGTCTGGGTGATCCTGGACAACCCACTTTTTCCTCCCATAAGGAGGTAAACCAAGTTGTCATTGGTAAACCAAACGGAAATGGATTCTACAGGGTCTAGTATTCCTCTGCCTGCCTGGGCCATCTCTGTACAAACTCCCTATACTTTCCTTAGAAGCTGTCTTTGGGGGCCTGTATTTTAAAAGTTCTTTAAGACAAGTAGCAAAAGTATAGTGGCAACTTGTGGCCATGCCTCAAGGCCATTTATAAAAACAAAACAAAGCCAGAAAGAACCCCTTTCCCCCTTTCTCCTCTCTACTCAGCAGTGCCATTGTAGTAATTATGAGCAAAGGAGGAAGACAACCACTAAGTTCAGATTTTAATAAGCCTATCTCCTCAAATTGTTCACAGTGTGCTTTTAGAGTTATGATGACACAACTTTTAGAGTCTACAAATGTTTGTGGAGAATATTTAGACTTTTTTTTTTCTATTGGAGGTTAAGAAAATGAGTTACACTTATTGCCAAATTAACCTACTCCTCACAGAGAAGGAAAAATACCCCTCAAATCACAGGAAGATTAAAAAGTCATAATACAAGGCTCTAAGACAACTCCAAAAGACTCATGATGGAAAATGCTGTCCATATCCAGAGAAAGAACTATGGAGTCTGAATGCAGATCGAAGCGTATTTTCCTTCTCTCTCTCTTTTTGTTTCTTTTTCCTTGCGATTTCTCCCATTGGTTCTAATTCTTCCTTACAACATGATTAATGTGAAAATAGGTTTAATATAAATGTGTATGTTGAGCCTATATCAATTTATATGCTGTCTTGGAGTGGGAGGAAAGGAGAGATGAGGAGAAAATTTGGAACTCAAAATCTTATGGAAGTGATTGTTGAAAACTAAAAATAAATAAATATTAATTAAAAAAACTCATAATAAATTAATTAATGATAAGCAGTAAAGAATAGTAGATGAAAGAGCATTGAAGTCAGGAAGACCTAAGTTCCAGTCCTTCTTGACACATATAAGTTGCTATTTAACCTTTCACCATCTCCCCCCTTCCCTCTTCCCAGCTTCCTAAGACTCTTAAATTACAAATTACTTGTTGATCTAAATTGGTGGACAGAGTTTTCACACCAGGAGTTCCCTAGATGGATGAAACCCAAGGTCTGGACCACCCTCACCCCTGCAGCTCCCTTAAAATATAGACTGAGGGCTAGTGACTGTAATTTAATTTATAACAATAGATGAAATCACTTTAAAAGGCTAGGATTTGATCCAAAGCATTGCTCAGGAGCTTGAACTAGGTAGAGCCAGAGAAAAATAATTCAATAGACTAATAAGCTCGGCTCATTTTTTGTTTGTTTTATTTTAGAAATCTGGAGAAGACACAGTGACTTGTTTCCCCTTTCCAGCCTAGGCCATGTCTTTACAAACTTCCTACATTTAGACAGAAGCCTCTTTAGGAAGTTTCAATTTTAAAAGTGCAATGAGATAGGTAGAAAAAGAACAGTGGTAAGCTGCTAGCTGATGTTTAGTGTGGAAAGAGTTAAATAGGCTTGCCCAGGTTTCAGAGAAAGCACTGAGTTGCTGCCAGGGTTATTGCCTATGTTCTTCTCAAACCCAACTTTTTAGCTCTCAGGCTCTACCACCCTTACTGCACATCAAGCCTGTGTCCACCCACAAGCTGGAGGTGGGGAAAAAAAACCAAGCCAGGATTTCCCGTTTGTGCTTGCTCTGTTTGGCCAAAGGTGACTCTAACTTAGTGGACTGAGGTCAACCTCCCCCTCCCCCAAATCAATAATTTAATGTGACTTATCAGAAAGAGAAAGAATTGTTTACTTTAAAACCCTGGAGCCCATAAAGGGAGAGGGGGAAAGGCTCGGGGGAACAGATGCTCCAGAGGGCCCTGTTTCTGCCTTTGAGCTGCAGAAAGGTAACAAGGAGAAGGCTCCTGAGAGGGGGTGCAGCTAGCACTAAGAGAGATACAGGGTACACCAAGGCCAGGTCACCATTCAGATGAGAACTTGGGACAGACACTGCAAAGGAGAAGCTTCCCACCATGCAGTCACTCTTGGAGGTGGTAAGTGTCTCCTTAGATCCCCTTCTGTCCCCTGACATAAAATAGACTTTGCTTTGGTCAGGCACTGACATAGAGCACTTTGGACAGGCAGAGCTGACTAACATTTCGAAGGACTGGAGATGGAAACTGAGTAGCATCTGGGGTTGTAGGAAATGTGTTCATCTTTCTGCTAAAATGATTGAACTTTCAGCATAGGCATTGGGAAGAAGGTGGGCATCAGCCATCTACCTGAAGGGCTAGTGTTGCCCTCTCTAGGAAGGTAAAAGAAACAAAGAAGCCAGGCAAAGCCAACTGTCTGGGGTCTAAGAACTAGGGTCAGTTAATGTTTCCCTAGCCCAAATTTAACAATAGCACCGAAGCCTTGAAACAAACAGACAAAATAATAAAAGAATGAATAAACAAATAATTGAAGCCCATAAAAGAAAGGGGCAAGTCCAACACCCAGGGCTCCCTTTATACTGTATCACTTGGGTTTACCCTTTGATTTTATAAAATACCAACCTCCACAGATATTGCTCTTCTCTTCTCCTTCTCTGACCTTTAATTGTTCTGTGGATAGTACTTAAGAACAGCTAGCCATCAGTGTAGAAATGAAATTGGCCCCTAAGAGTCACCAGGCAAACAGCCTTTTCCTCTAAAGTGTCAGCCATTCAGTTGATGATTTACTGAAAAGAGCTCCTGTTAGTCCTTGGATTGGTGATTGCCTTGCAGAACCATAGCAAGAGATCTCATGAGCTTTGATATAGTAGAAAGAGCCCAAGGCCTAAGTCAAGATACCTGGGTTAATAATAACGACCTGTCTCCCAGGGTTATCATGAAGAAAGCCCTATAGAAATACTAGTTAGTATTGATTGGTTTTATTGTAGGAGTATGTTTATCTACTAAGTCCCAAGTAGGTTTCAGTCTGCATGGTGGAGAATTATTTACCCTGACAAAATCAAAACTTTCTTAGGGATCATAGATAGTATCATTGTTTTTTTTGAGCTAGAAGGAACCTTAGAGATCATCTGGGTCAACCATTTCATTACAAGAAATTGAGGCTCAAAAAAGGCTAAGGCAGGGGTGGGGAACCTTCAGTCTTGAGGCCACTTGTGACCTTCTAGGTCCTTGGATGCAGCCTTTTGACTGAGTCCAAGTTTTACAGAACAAATCCTTTCATTAAGGGGATTTGTTCTGTGAAGTTTGCATTCAGTCAGAGGGCTGCATTTGAGGACCTAGAGGGCCACACATGGCCTCAAGGCCAAAGGTTCCTTACCCCTTGGCTAAGAGATCTTCCCAAACTCAGGCAGCACATAGGCATGGATCCAGGACTCAAATCCATCTCTCTTAATTCCTAATTTAGTGTTATTTTCATCTATACCATATCCCTCTCCAGGGATAGCCATTTTTAGTTGGTTTGCTAATTTTCCATATACTGAGGGTAAAAAAGTTTCAGTGAACTCAAGACAGATTAAGGTAGTAGTTTTCTTCATGGCATGTTTTAGTTTCATTCAAGGAGCCATGGTCTCCTTCAGGATTCCTTCCATTGACCCTGATCACAATTTCTTCTCACCTTAGAGTAGATGATCTCCATATATTGTTGAGACTTAACAGATTTATCACCTGATAGATAGATTTCTGATCTAGACTCTTTCTGTCCTTAGCAAAGTTGGTTTTCTGCTGACACATACATAGGCCTTTAATAGCCTGGTATTCATAGCATTTCCAGCATAGGAGACCTTGCCAGAGCTGATGCTTTAGGGGTGTAGCCTTCAAGAGCCCAGTGACATCTCCAGCTAAGAGCAGAGTAAGACTTTGGTAGAGGAGTTCCCTAATTGTGTTAAATTAATGGGTAGCAATTTTTTAAATAAACTATTTGATTATTTAAATTACTTTGCAAGCTGAAGACCTTCACCTGGCTCTATACCAGAAAAAATAATGTAATTAATAAAATTAATAAAAGCACACTTTTAAGTAGCTTTATATACATATATGTCTGAAAATATTTGTGTGTGTGTATGTATATGTGTATGTATATTTGTGTATGTATGTCTGAAAAGTGTAACAAATGACCCTACTATAATTTCAAACTTTGAAAATCTTCCTCAGACATGAGGTTATATAGAAAAAAAGGATAAGTGTCATCACATTATCAGTCAACTGAATGACTGAATCCTTTCAGTGAACTGGATTAGAAACTGATTGGAGTCTAATGCTTTCTCTTGCTCTCTCTCTCTCTCATTCTCTCTCTCCATATATACATATATATACACACACATATACATACACACACACATAGACATCCACACACAAGCATTTAATAAATACTTACTGAGTGTCCAACACCAGTTTAAGGCCCTGGGGGTGCAAAGAAAAACCAAAAATTGTCCCAGCCTTCAGAGAACTTACATTCTATGGGAACTTACACTTTGTGTTCTCATTTGATCTTGTTAAACAGCCCTGTGAGATAAGTACTGGAACTGTTATTATTCACATTGTACAGATGAAAAAAACGAGAGTTAAGCAGCAAAGTGACTTTCTCCTTGTCGTATAGCTTACTATGTCTTAGGGGTGGAGTTCTAACATAGTTCTTTCCTTCCTCTAAATCCAATTTTTTGTTCACTATACTACTTGTTTTAATACCTGTAGTAACAACCCCCATCCTGCAGTGGTTGCAAGGATCAAATGAAATAACTTGTAAAGTGTTTTGCAAACCTTAAAACACTATATCGATAGCAGTTGTTGCTATCATTATTATTAATAACTATTAATAATAAAAAATAATCATTTGAGATAGTGGCAAAATAAAAAATAGCTAAGTTTAAAGTGCTGAGCTCATAACTGACATTTAGTAAATCTTTGTGAGTTGATGTAATTAGGCAGGACAATCAGAAATCTTACTTGACCCATCTGAAGGACTCTGTGGAGAAGTTACCCTGAAGACAACTTCTTTGCCAAGATGCAACCTTTTCATGCTTGGTGGAAGAATGACCTTTGTCCACTCTCTGAGTTGAGCCTGCTGGATCTGTGCTTTGGGAAGGTGTGGAGAAAAAATGGGAGGTCCAGGGTAGGCAGCATGGCTGAGAACTCCCTCGTTTTGTGTTTCAGTGAAGAAATAGGAAATTGAAAGAGTGGTGGGGATTGAAGAAGAAAAGATGGTGTGAACATCACATTGACTTCCTGTCTTAGTTCTTATCTCACCTCCCTTGCAAACTCTTTGTGGGTAAGGATTGCTTTGTTTGCATGTATTTGTAATTCCAATACTCAGTGCAATATTTGGCACAGCACTTATTAAATGCCCTCCCCCTCCCCTCCTCATCTCTTCTTTCTCTGCAGGATTCTTAACGAGTGATGACTGCCACCCAGCTGGAAGAGTGGAGAGGTCTACACCTCCACTATGGCCTCAGACAATGAAAGGTGGCCAAAAATCTCCACTCAGTACATTGATCTTCAAGTAACCACTAACACTCTTACCTAACAAGCAGTTCACCCTCTTTCAGCTTCTTTTTCACTCTTTCCGGGTTCAACTACATTTACTGTAAATCCTGAGAAGAGGTATAAGAAGAACCACAGCGAAGAAATTGTACTAAGTGGTATAGTGTCATTCAGCACCAACAAATACTTGTTAACCATCTCCTGTGTGCAAAGATACCATGCTGTTCCCTAGGGATACAAAAATGAAAAATCCCACTGTCCCTGCCTTCAAAGTGCTTTCATTTCATATACTAAAATGTGTGAGGGACTTTGTTCCAGGTCCCCACATACTTGCAAGCAAATGAGAAAAAAGAAATCAAATACGTGAAAAAGATATAAAAGCACATATAAAACCCCAGTCATAACAAATTAGGCACTTATGTGTTTGTTAAATGTGTTGAATGCAACTGAACTATATGAAAGGTACATGAGCCATCATAGTTATGCTTGCATCCATCCATGTGAATTCTGAGATGTTGCTATGGTAACAGGAGAAAGGTTAGAACTCAGTCTGGGCAAGTTTTAAGGAAGCTCAGAACTGGGTACCACTAATAAGGCTCCAGAAATTTCTGAGGGTAAGACTAAGAAATAGTGAGTGTAAAGGCTGTATTGTAGCTCACTGAAGCTGGGGCCCAACAGCCATCTTGATGTTTAGACTTTCAGTAGTTGCAGGCCTATTGATAGAAAACCACTTGGCTTACTGGAGAGGATTTCTTCAACTAATTCATGCTGGACTACCAATGGCTGATTATAGACTGTATGTTTGCTCCTTCCCAAGAATATTTGGAGCTTAACAAAGAGACAAAAAGAATCGAGTGGTAGAATAATTTCAGTTACTAATCTCTAGCCTGTGAAAACACATTTGAGGTAAGAAAGGGGCTAGGAAGGGCTTTTCTAGCACCGCTCAAATCACACTACAGAGGCAGCTGCCTATTTGGCCAATAGCTATAAGCCATCTTTGTCCCTACATACACTGTGGACCAAAGTCACGTTCCAAAGGGAAATGTGTCATCCTGTTGAAAGGATAAACAAACTAAGAAGATCAACAACTGGCAGGAGCCAACTCCCCCAATCTGAGCATGATAAAAATGGCTTTTAAAAATATACCAATCTTCACAGAACCTGGTTGCCTTTGTCAGGGATACTGATTTCATTTACTGGGAACCAGGAGACTGGACTGTCTTTAGGAAATACAAAGAAAATTGGTTTTAGGTGCTCAAGGATATGACAACATTAGGCTTATAGAGCATTTCTGGTTGTATTTGGAAAAAGAGGCTATTCTGGGAAACATGAATCTAGTCCCAACCCCCCTCTTTTTACTGCATAAGACAAAAGAAAATCAATGAAGTAAAATACTTAGCTTCCTGTTTTGTTTTGTTTTTCCTGCTGTGGGAAGGAGTTTATGGTACCATTCAAAAAGTAATTCAAACAGGAAATCAGTGCAAATCCAGAGCAGAGCTCCTTCACAGATAGGTCTCCTTTTGGCTAAGAACTGAATGCTATTGCCTCCAAAATGAATGAGTCCTTCTCAGTACACTTACCTCCTGTCTCCTTAATTCCACTCCTCTTCCCTTCCACTACTATGGTTGACTGAGATTTAAAATCCAAACAGAGCCCAGTTCTTAGGCAACCAATGTCATGGTATTGATATGTGATTGTAACATGTCAAAATGCTATTCCCTAACAGAAATGAGTTTTCTTCCTTGGGAAGAAAACACCATTTACCAAATTAAGTCATAGTCTTTAAGCAGGCACAAATGATATGCTAGGAATTAACAGGGAAGGGGGAGGTGGGGAAAAAGAGAAAGACTTTTCATATTTTTATGCTTGCTTATATGTGTTCCCACAAAATATTTTTTTGTCACAGTCTGGCTTCATATGTGTTATGCCCCCACTGTAGATATTTTATTTTCTCAACCTTAAAAAAATAAGACTTGAAAGCAAATATCAGAATGGGCTCATTACACATTTCATGTCCCTAAGGAATCTCCCCATATTTTAATAAGTGCTATCTGGTAGGACAAAGAATATGCAGCATGAAGAAATACTAGCTCTGGAGTCAGAGAATATGGGGTCAAATCCTCCCCCGGTCCTTATTACCTGTGTCACTTTAAAGATTAGTCACTTCACTTCCTCAGCCTCAGTTTCTTCCTCTGCAAAATGAGGAGCTTGGACTAAATGGCCTCTGAGGTCTTTTCCAGTTCTGGATATATGATCTTGTGATCCTGTGAATGCAAGGCAAAGGGCAGATTTGCTAGTGCCCATGTGGACCAAATGGCTTCTGTCCCCTAGTCATTTTCAGTTTGAACAGGGTGAGGAGTATCTCCTGCCTTTGGATATGGCTTTCTTCAGCTTGTCTTTCCATTTCTTGCAGTTTGTCATGGTGCCTGATCTCTTCTCTTCCTTCCAGGTAACACATAGGGATCTGGAGAGTTCCTTTCTGGTGGGCCTGTGTGTCAGTGCTGGCATGTGGAGGTGCAGTTGACATCCTTCAGGCTGTGTGTTTTCCCCTGCCAGAGCTATGGAGTGTGACAATGGTGTTTGTGTCCCGTCTATCAAACGCCATTATCACACTAAATAGCTCGTGTTGGGCAATCCATCTCTTCAGGGAAGAGCGTGTCAAGCATTACGTCATCTGCTGAGGATAGACAAGACCAAGTTATGCTCACATCAGTGCCTGTCCCCCTCATTCTTGGTTGCCAAAGTAATTGCTGAAATGGTGGGCTTCTAACATGTATGTTCTCTGAGAGCCAGAATTTTCTCAACTTTGCCTTTTATTCATTGCCATCAATGGATGGTTTCCTGTCTGATGTAAGTTCCTTGAGGGCAGAGATTGTTTTGTTTTCATTTTCATTTCTGTATTCCCAGCTTATCACAGCATCAGGTACACAGTGGGTGCTTAATAAATGCTTATAAAATTGGAGTGTATTTCTGAGTCGATAGAAAGAAAATACACAATCCCCCACAGAGCTTAGCATGCTGCTAGACACAGAGGGCCCCACAATAAATATTTCTTGAAACAGCAGGAAGGGAACAGATACAGAAAAAAGAAATCATTTAGGATGTGCAAATAACTTGCTTATTATTTAGGTAGAAAATGAAGGTATGTGACTTTTTTCATTATAAAATTCCTTTCAAAAGCACACTTGATAGTAAACTTACATATGGCCTATTATTGACCTTCCAGAAATGCCAGCACACGTTTGACTCCTATTGATTTTATTCAGTTACTGTACTGATTGCTGTATTTGCACGCGAGATTCCCTCTCCCCTAATGTTTCCTTTAATTATCCACTAGGTTGAGCCACTGAAAACAACTTTTGAAATTATTAACTCTTAGGGCCTATTTAATAACTGAACTCTGCAGAGTTCAGTTTCTGGGCCGAAATGTATGCCTGTTTCTGTTCAGTAGAGACAAAGTGGCCCTTCTCATATCCTAAACAAGAAGAGGATCAAAAGGTGTGTTGGCTTAAAGTGATTTAGATTAATGAGTCAATTTTATGATAGCCCAGGTTTGGGCTTTTTCCTCAGAATCCAGTTGTTGGGGCCAAATTCTTGACACTACAATTGGAGTGTCTGCTGCTTTAAAGCCCAATTTGGGTATGAGGCAATCCTCTAGTACTAATAAGGCATAGCTCATGATAGATGCAGTTTTTCAGCTTGCAGTTGTGCTAATTGGAGGCTATATTTTGTGATGAAGGTTGGTGAACAGCACATGAGGAGACCCCAAAATACTTAGCGATTGATTAAAAACAAAAAGAAAGAAATGGAATAATGGAAAGAGCACTATACTAAGAGACAGGAAACTTGATTCTTTGCTTAGGGAAGTAATTTAACCCCTCTTGGACTACTGGGGCAGCTAGGTGGCACAATGGATAGAGAGCCTAGTGGCCTGAACTAAGGAAGACCTGAGTTCAAATCCAGCTTCCAACACTTACTAGCTTTGTGACCCTAGACAAGTCACTTAACCCTGTTTGCCTCAGTTTCCTCATCTGTAAAATGAGCTGGAGAAGGAAATAGCAAACCACTCCAGCATCTTTGCCAAGAAAACCCCAAATGGGGTCATAAAGAGTCAGACATGACTGAAACAACAGCAAAAGGGAAGGCCAGCCTAGATGATCTCTTAAGTTGTAGTTCTAATAGTCTCTGAATCTAAGTAATATCTTTAATCAAATGAGTAAAATTTACAAAATAATTAAAAATCCTTTGATGAAGACATGATGTTAATTCAGTACACTTAGCCCAAAAAAATTTTTTTTACGTTAATAGTTTGTAAATGTCACATTTCAAAGAATTGAGTGTGTTTATACAGAAGGCATAAATACAAATAATTCCAAAGAACAGAGCTTATGGATGACTGGGAGCAAGGGAGGGAAAAGAAGGGGCAATAAGGGAGGATACTGTCCCAATCCACAGCAGTAGTTTTGGGGATTTTCACAGAGGAGGGGCTCACCAGCCAATGATGCTGCTAAAAGCAAGAGACCTTTAATTTGACACATTTTCATTTTACCAAAGGGAAGACTTGAGGTCTAAGGGAACACTCAGGGATGAGAGCAAAGAAGGGGAAGGCAGAAGCAACCAAGGAAGGATACAACCAGATTTGTTACAATGGTGTTCAGGCCACAGCAGGAGGAGGGAAGGGGTTCAAGGATGTTCCTGTGAAGTGGCTGGTTGTTGTCCTTTGTACACATAGCTTCACTTCTCTGCTTACCCTTCCTAAATGATAAGTAAGATGTCTGGAATCTTGTCTCCTCCACCATGGTAGCACACCAACTCCTCCAACCCTCCCTAAACTAGGTGGGGATTGACACAAGTCAATTCCCTACGCTAAAGTCATTCCATAGACTAGGATGGTCAACCTGTGAGAAGAGCCTCAGGAAACTCAACCTACCAGAGAAGCAACAAAACAAGGCAGAACCAAAACTTTTATGGGGAAGGGTGGGGTCTTGCTCATGCCTGGCTGATTGGTTTCCTTCATTTGATGTCATAGGTAATGAGTTGCCAATTAACCAGGTGGAATGGGAGCATGGAAGGTCCTAGGCATAGAAGATTCTAGAAGAGGAAAGGGGCCAGGTTGGATGAAGAGTTGTGTCTGAAGCATAGACATCTTTTTACAAGAAAGACTGGGCCCCCAAAACAAGAGTGGGGTAGGAGTGGAGTATGTATATGTATGTATGTATGTATTGTATTGTATATTAATAACTACCATAGATGTAGAA